ACTTATTTTGTTAAATTTGTGTCGGTTTTTATGAAGATAAATAAGTAATTTAAAGATATATATACAAGGCAGTGGCATTATTTTATGATTTTTGAAAGTGTCCCGACATGTTTGAGCGTAATTAAGATTGTACATCATATTATTATCATATCATATTATCATATCTTCTTTAAATTTGGTGCACCTCATTTTGTAAGTGGCCGTATGTTACAACACCCCCTGACAATACTATGAGACACATTATCAAAACTGATAGCGCATTTAACCAATTTTTATGATTTTATTTTATTTTCATCATCTACGAAGAGGTACTTGTTTCACACTATTGTACGAGTATGTATAGGCTTCGTGAAAATCGTTAAAGTCGTATATCATTTCTGAAATGATCGTAGAAATCATTGTTTCCGTATGCGACTTCGGAAAAACTCGAGGACCAGTAAGACGTCTCAAATGATTTTGTTGTTGAATGCGTTAAAAAACAAAATGAGTACCAAAAAACTCAAAGAACCATGTAACATTTTCACATTCCCAAGGGAAGTAGACCCGAGTAGTTTTACGGTGTAAAATTGTATTTAAAAAGTAAGTTGCTTGGTGCATTTTTTGCACATATCACCCCTACTATACGCTTCCTTACATCTTTTACATAAAAATCAATGATAATCAGATAATAATCGATTAACAGAATAGTCTTTCTTCACCCTATTTCATAAAAAAACGTGACCGACAATTATTCCTCGAAGCTACCAAGCTTCGTTTCATTTTGATGCTCAAGTCTCACATTGCGTTCCTCTTCCTGGCAGCTCTTGGCGATAGCAGACTAAAAGCAAATTATTTAAAAAGGAATTCCTTACTCGAATAATGACATCCAACGCTACAATGTAATAACATACGCGTGTATTTTCGGAGACATCACCGTAGATATAAATCTCTTCACGTCTCACGTTTCAGTATTACAAGTAGACTAAATCACTTCTATTAGTGAAAGTGCGCTTTTGGGTGCTTATCCTTCTAATTCACAGTTATTATTTCATACCCGGTAATATTTAAGTATATGAGCGGCACGCGTAGGAACAAAAATCGTGCAAAGTTTCAAGGTGTCTCTCTTTAGGCATTTTTTTATGTACTTGTTAACTGAATGAATTGTCTAATGGGTAAATAATAAATTTATAACAGTGTTTGTTTAGAAAAAAAACGAACATGTAATCAAGATAACCTTTCACGACATGCCGGTTTATGAAGTATTAACATTAGTTTTTTTTCTCTTGTTTTTAATAAATTAATATGGAATTGTCGGTCTATAACAATAAATTTAGCTTGTAAACTAGTTTAATTACGTAACTCACCTAACGATTAAATATCTCTGCGGTTAGATACGGAATGCGCAAAGATGATTTGCCAATTATTTCGTTTATATGGGGTGGTCATGCAACGATTTCAGTACTCCAACTCTTCACTGTGTTGGCAGGGGGTGAATTTTGGTAAAATTCATATTCGTCGTTCAGTTTCTTCAAAGAAGTATAAATCTTCCAAACTGAAAGCCCAGTAGCAACAAGACTGGTCTTGATTATTTCATTATGCATGTTATATTTCACTTTTAATTCGCGAAGATGGAAGCGCCAAATTCCTCCTTTATAGGCGTTGTAAGATCACATTTTATTCAACGGTTAGGAAACATCTGTTGAGGTTTTTTGCCTGTAATGTTTAGAATGTTTGACAAGCCAAGACCATCTCGTCCTCCAGCAGAAATGGCGACGCTTTGCAAACATGTTAAAAACCTCAATCGTGTTATGGTAAAATTATTAGAATTAAGAAGACTGATTTATTGAAGGAATTAGTGCCGAACAGCTGTGGCCTGAAGACGTAGTTGCATTCAATAAAAACAAATGGCATTTACTTATACTTTTCTTACAAGTATCTGTTATAAAAACAAGTGGTAACAGTAAACATAACACACGTATACCGTGTAGTATTCCTTCGATTGAACGTGATTCAATTGAATTCACTATTTAAAATTAAAAGTAGTTCACTATTGACAGCTGTATCAGTCGGTAGGTATGTGTGACCACCTTAAAGGCTTGCAGCGCTGCTGCACCCACATCCGACTCATTTATATCTCTTTTTTCTTCTATAATTTATTTTCTATTTCTATTCGTATTCAGTTGATTGCTTATTGTTGGTGTTATGAAATGCGGTGGCCGTGAATTAATTAAATTTAACCGTATAGTATTAAGCATGTGACAAAATCGTTCCGATAACGTATGTGTGTGGCAGGTAGAGCTATTAATTAACGTAATCTAACATGCATCTGTTGCTGTTGCACTCATTACATCTTGCTTTTTGTTAGATCACAGTTAGCCATGCAAGGAAGCGTTTCAATGCTCAACTTCTTTGCGTCACGCAATCAATTAGGACGGTCATAAACTAGTGTGTGAATACTAGGGGATGCGCGTTGCATCCCTGCGGTACTCCCATCGCAATAAATATGTTAATCAGTCACGTTTTATAACTGTTTTCTTTTTTTTAATATGTAAAAATTAATACTATAAATAGCCAAATATGGAGGTCATCACCACGTAAATATGTTTTATACAGCTTGTAGGATGTAAAATCCCAATCGTGTCATTAATCTTGCCTAAACAACCTTGCTTATCAATTAGTGTACTATCTCATCAAATACCGGTAGCTTAAATTTTGCTAGAATCAAGATTTATGGCCCCTTAACTAGTAATTAACTACCCCAATTATCTTCATCTTTGGTCATTTAATTAAAACGCACTTGTCGAGGTTGTATCTAAACCGAGAATCTTGGAAAGAAAGATTAAATCGTCCGGTGTACAAAATAACGCACCATTAAAAAATTAGGTAGAAAATGTATGTCGATGCCCCCTCTTTTTACGATCCAAGATCCTATATTTTTATTCAAGTGCGGCCGCTTAATGAGATTTTACAGTCGAAATTTACAGCACGATATTATTATCCTTTTTTTACGTTCATAAATCCCCACTTTTACAAATTACAGAGTTTCGATAGTATTAAAGCTCTTTTTGTTTCACTTTACACGATGTAAATACAACCGCCTCTGATTTTTAAAACAACGTCCGGTTACGGTTGTATCATTTTAAACTTTTTCTGTAACGTTTAGCTTTAGATAAATACTTGTGTAATTGCGTTTGCATTTACCTTTTGTGCGCTTTCTTAATGTAACCCTTTTTTGTTCCAGAGTATTTTATTTTTTTACATTTCCAAGACCAGCACTTCGGCAAGACAAATTAAGACAAATACAAACATTCACTTTCAACGACGGATTAGATAATTAGAGAACTTTGCCACTGGCAAGACTTGTCTCACACAACTGCCAATCATCAAAACAATAAGCGGCTACAAAAAAACAATAATTAACATCTATCACCAAACAAGTCGCGATTCAAGTCTTCCTCTGCTATTTAAAATAATGCCCCTATCACCTTCCAACAGCGTCTTAGAATAAATTAAACACCTACGGCGAAAAAACATCTGCCAAAACACTTGAAATTAATTAGCAAATACAGCGATAACTCTCTTATCCCAATGACCGGAGATGATGTCGGTCTCTCATGTCCCGCAAAACGGCTGAACCAATTCGAACCAAATTTAGTACACATATTCTTAGATATAAAAGGAAGAGCATATAGTAAAATACATTGGTTCTATCTCGGTCTTATCGGTACAACGTAGTGGTGACACCTCGACGTTTTACTTAGTAAGTGAATTTTTGATTCTTCTTTTACACAATGGGATATTTTATGCTACCAAAGAGACATGAATACACCTTTTTTTTTGTATGCAGTGGAAATGGCAAAATACCTTTATAAACTCTTGTTGTTATGGGGCCATTTCGACTTTTTCTGATTACTCATTTTGTTTTTGCTTTCTTTGAAAAAATACTATTAGATGTGTATGGTTGTATTGTTTTTGAAACTAAAACTTGTTAAGATACATAAATTCACTGCGATTAATAACGCAATAACCCAATGTTTTACGGTACCTTCTAAATATTTCTCTCCGGGAGTTCTTTGGCCCCCTATAAAAACTGGCCGGAAGATAAGGTCCCCTTGGGTTGTTAAAGGTTATAGGCGTAGCGTATGAAAAATTGGCAATGGCCCAAAGAAGGTAAAGATAAATTTCTTGGCGTTTCGATCGAATGTTAAGAGATCTCCGTAACGAAACTGCTTCAACTCTTCTGGTGTCAAAGTACTTTTGGTTGATAGTGGTGTAATTAATTACTCGTAGGTAAAAAATTCAACGTTTCCCAGCTACATTTTCTTGTCTTTTAGTACATCAATAAACGCCCGGAATTGCCTCGCGTACAAGTGGCCTATCTCTTAACCCACGCGTTTTTAGCTTCGTATCGTTCCAAACCAACCCTTGCTCATTTTTCTTATGAAACGGTACATTTGAAATTTTACCCACATGTAAGATATTTTAATAATTTAAACGGCAAAGCGAGCTCCCGTTACACTCTATTATATGAATTAAGAGCACCACTTTGTTGGAATATTAGTGTTGGATTGTAGTTTTAGTTACTTTTCATAACAAAATCTAGAAATAGCACCTAGAAAGCACAATGGAACATTAATTTAAGCCAACTTTAATATAACACACGTTTCGACAGCAAAGTTGGTCGCTGACGAACACAGTTTTGCTTTCGAATCTTGGTGTTTTTATTTCACAAGAGTTCCAGTGAAGGTCCTGCTCCCTTTCCTGGGAATTTTGAATTAAAGAGACATTAATTCGCATTGAAAGTTTAATGTATATTATTTAATAAACTATTATATTAATTGCGTAAATTGTTAAAGAATTCACCCAACATTTCATTTTCTCTAAAAACAGAGTTTCGTTTCAACTGTCTCTATGATTTTATCAATGTAACACTGTAACATTTTAGTTGGAACACACTGTCTACTTAATTAATTAATTGATTATCGTTAATTTTTTTCTAAGGTTTTTTTTTGTTTTTGCAGAATGCTGGGATTTTATTTTCGGTTGCAGTAGTCGATGAAGACCTAATTTTGGTAAGTATCCTTCTGTTTAAATGTTTAATAAAGTAGGCGTGACAGTAGGTAAAGCTCGGTAAAGCATTTGTGATAATTATTGCAGCAAGGGTGCTCTGATTCAGAGGTTGTCACTTTATTTTTATTTGATTTTAAAGTATCCCCAAGCAACCCTATAACTGCGCCTAAAATCTCGCCCCTTAAAGCCATAACACCTCACAGGTCAAATATTTCAAATTGTTGACCTAATTGTGACAAGACCTTTCAAATGTCATTCGTATATTATCTTCATTTGAAATTTTTGACAGGAGAATTGTGAAGGGGATGTGGCTGACAATGGATTAATTTTTACATAGAAATGTGTCCCTTTGAAATCCAAAGTTGACGTGTATCACGATTTTTTTACTCTCAACATCAAATGATTTATTCAGGGTGGCTCCTTTTAACTAGAATGCCCTGTGTATTTTTTGCATTTTGGAGTCATAATTTTAACTTCTTTGCTTTGATGATGAGTTATATTCACGAAAACGGACTTCTTGGCCTTTATGTGGTGGCATCGTCAAAATAAATGTTTTCTGTTAAACGAAGACGATTATTATTGTAAGTTGTGGTTACATTTGAATGAGTCATTTACCAATACCTTTCTTTTATATACGTTTGACCTTTAGCGAGTCTTTTCCCAAACCTCAGTTTCGACCAAAGGTATCTAATTAATGCGTCTAAATTATATACGCTTACATTTCCGTGAATATTCATGCGGTCTTGGTATGTTTTAATTAAACTATACCCATTAAACAATTTCTAGTCAAAAGGTCACACATTGACGACTTCGTTCTGGAATCCCAGAGTTACTTATTCTCCTATTCATCGGCAAAAGTGGTTCATAGTCTTCAATGTCGACAAACGTAGACGTAACCTTCTAATCTCGCCATAAAATGCGCAATATTACAGACCCGAATCTTAATGAGGTTCATGTGCAATTGCCGTGTAAAAATTACACGCATATATTTTGTTACCTTTTTGTACATCTGACATTTAAACTTGATTGATCAGTTGAACAACCATGACCTTTTCCAGTCCAGAGCTTAAAATGTCGAAGATTAACACAAATAGGCTGCTTCTTCTCCATAATTCTAACGGTTAATTAACTGTCCTTTGCACATTGAGTATGATTGGCGTAGGTCATAATCTGGACTGAAGCCTTGAACTTTGTTGATATTTTGGGAAAATGCCAATTTGATCTCGGCGTATATCGCATTTCAAAACGCTTTTTAGACAGTCGTGCGAATAAGTCATGAGAATTCGGCTATTTCCTGTGTGTAAAAGGAAACAATACACCTTGTTCGCTTAGCATAATTAACATCCATTTTCACAATTGCTGTTATACTTCCCTTTTTCTTAATTGCCAACCTATAGATACATCTAATTAACTTGTGTGAGCGCGATGATCAATGGCAGTACCTTTGAAGATATGTGAAGCTGGATAATGTCCATTCATTAAATATTGTTGATTTGTCAATGTCCTACCGCATTGTCACACCTTGCAATTACGCGGCAATAAACTGTCTATGTATGGTACGTGTGGCTTTGTACACAACACAATAAAATAAACCAATGCCTATTGTATGATTCTTCATTGCAACTTATACGTTATGTTCTCTTAGCAATGTGCAATAAATCATTATTCGATTCATGCAAATAAACACTTTTTACGATTCTCTTAACACCTACAAGTTCTATGTAAGATCTTCCGGTACGGATATCGAGCTTTAATCGATATTCTGTGGGGTGTTTCTTTTACATCACAAACATTTTTTTATTGATTCATCATGTGTCTTCGATGCGTTTTACAAAATATGTTATTATAGTATTACTGGTCAGCTTAAGTGGTAGGGTGAGCTAAGTACGCTGCCCAAAACATTTCCTCTTATTTCGTTCAATTTCTCCAAAACTCCTTTCATTCCCCAAAATTTTGTTATTACGCAAACATTTCCTTGTATTTCGTCAAAAATTACTTTACTTTCCTAAAGCTTCCTGGTCATTCATCATTTCTGGGGAATTAATTCTTTGTCGCACCTCTTATTCTTCACAAATCTCTTTATACTACAGAACATCCTCTGATTTCCTCAAAGCTTTATCCATTATGTTAAATTTCCCCAGTTTCTAACGAAATAAATAACTGTACTTGGCTCCATTTTTTATACTATGTAGATAATAGCCTATTGCTTTTAATTTCCTCAGTAATCAATTTTCATTACTAACCATTATTTCCAAAATTTCCGATACTTCCTTAGCACTTTTGTTACTTCCACAAAATTGCTCCGCATATTGTTTAGTATTTATGTGTGAAAATCGATCCCATTCTCCAAAAATGTTGTTATGTATCACATATTGCTTTAATTTGTGTTCAAGTTCCTTAAAATGGGCCTATTCGTTATATGAAATAAATGTAAATTGTGCAATGGTATGCGGTCTACTGACTAAAAACTAAATTTGGGAGATTCGGAATCCTCGATCAACTTCCAAAGAATTTTTTACACAAATTTTGATCAACACCTGGAATAAATCTTGGGCACGAATAAAAAAAATCTGGGTCGCACACGTTACAATTACAAAAGCGGTAAAATTTAAACAAGAATACAAATAATTCTAAAACAAACACTAAAATACATATTCAAATGACACGAACTAACTTTGTGTTTATTTCGTAAATAACGTCCTGATTTACTTAATAAAATAAAATACTCCCATATACAGGATATCCCGTCATTATTTGTGGTGTTTAGACAGAAATAACGTCTGCATGACGTTGATTACACAACATTTCCCCCCTTAAATTGAACACAAAAACATAATTACATAAAATCCATTGGAATTATCCATTTTTTTTATCAATTTGTACTTTGACAGTGGGACACGAGAGCCTTAAAAACAATTTCCTAGTCAAATTAAGATCCAGACGTGCGAGAAGAATAATGGTATCATCCCTAACTTTTCCATTCCTCTTTTACCTTTTCGCCCCCCCCCCCTCCAAACTTTTCCCGTTACAATTATTAATCCAAAGCCTTTCTGGGAACACCTAAACATTACATAAACCGTGGTTTCTCAGTTACTGTTTCCTCACGTACCATTCTTCTCCCCCTATTGCTTTCATTAATAAGCCATCTTCCTTGTTTGCAACCTCAAAACCACCCCTTCTATTTTTTGTCTTAATACACGCAATCCTTCCGCCTCTTGGCTCTTCCTTATCCTGTATTTTCTGTCATTCGGTTTACTAAAATCTCATAATCAACTTCCAAATTCTGCCCCCCTTCCTGTACTGGTACCGCACTCTGTTGTTTGCCAAATTGATGCCAATGATCTTCCACTTCTTGATGATATTTTTCTTCATTTTTACGTTTAATAACTTCATTATATACCTCTTGAACGTTGTAAGCAGTGGATGAAAATTTCATTTGTTGAGGACCCAGAACAAGAGAGGGATAGTAAATAAATAAATAAAAGTATTGTCTTGATTTCAATTACAGCATTTACTGGTACTTCTAACATCTTGTCTTCGAATTAACATTAACACTTTTCCACCAACAGGCTCCTCTACCCCCACGACCGGTTCCACTTCAGCGGCCGGCGGGGTGGTTTCAGCTACTCTATCACATTCCACATCAACTTTCATTTCTACTTCCTGTAATGTAACAACCTCTTCTAATGTCACAGCAGGCGGTTCGGCAACCTTTTCCATTTTCTTCTCTTCTGGTCCACCTTTCTCAGATATCCACGTGTTTCTCCTAGTAAGTCATCTTTGTTTCTTCTTTTTCAAACGTCGCCCTTCTATTAACACCTACGTCTTTACCGCTACCTAGCCCTGTAATTAATCTTGTAAAAAATTAAAAATTTTTTTTCATAATCCAAATAATCTGGTGAGGTTTGCGATATTTAGGCGCACTTGTCAAAGACACAAAAACACTGACTGAGAGCTCCAGGAAACTTTTTTCTAATTAAACTGTAGTACAAGATCCCACATAAGGTCAACCTTTGCTCACCCGAGTGATATTACTAAACAAACACATTGCAAATGGGTTGCCTATAAAAATTAAGTTAAGACTATCCTTAATTAAAATTAATGTAATTAATATTTCTGTCTGCTTCTATGGCAAGAGAGTAAGCATGCGCTCTCTCCATGTGATAGAAGCAGACCGAAATATTACATTAATTTGAATTAAGGGCAGTTTTTTAAGCAACCCATTTGCAACGTGCTTGATTACATATCAACATTGCTAAAAAATGTATGTACTCGGTAGACAGATGGGCGAAGGTTGACCTAATGTGGGATCTTAGACTGGATCTTGATAAATAACATGAGAAATTTTCGGGGGCTGCTCGGACTGTAGAAATTTTTTCCTTTAATTATAGACAAAACGTTTCACTACGCAGAGAACTGCCTTGTGCACTCACACTCGAACTAACTTCTTCTGAATACATATAAACCGTTCTTAAACACACTTTCCACCATCTTTTACTACTGCACTTGACGATAACTTAAATCTTTTAATAAGATTACTTCCACTTGTTCTGCACATTTTGCGTCTACAAAAAAATCAAATAGGGCTGGCTGACTGCCCGAGATTTACCGTAAACAAATTTACATTCTATTACCGTCACGGAACTCGTAGTCTCGTTTTTACGTTGCTTAAACAACAATAATTGCTATTTGAAGTGCCCAAAATTTTACCAAAACTTCACATTCCAAAATTTTTGCCACGTTTCCCCAGTATCCCTTCACAATTTTTCAAAATTTCCAGTAATTTCTTCAAAAGTTTCTTATAATATTATTCCCCATAATGTTCATGTCAATTTTTTGGCAAAATATTCCTTTAAATTATTTCTTATATTTCTTGAGAACTTCCGAAAGCTCAGAATCCTGTTTTGGTTCGTCCAAATTCCTTAAACTCGAGAATTTTTTATACCTTCACAGGATTTCCGATAATTTCCCGAATCGTTGCACAGATGCGCCATTTCCTTAA